TCTGCAGATGAGCATACTAATGACCTTGGCTTGCCTGAGCTCAGGTGACCGAGAAGAGCTGAATGAGTACTAGTTGTACTAAGTAGGACACGCAGTGGCTTAACATACCAGTGGTCCTTTGCAGTGGCCAAGAGTAACCGAAGCTGGGCCGGCTTTGGAGCTGACCTCAAACCACTTGGTGGTTTATGGACCTTCGAGAGACATCCTTATCCTGAAAGACTTTCCTGACTGTTGGCTATGGGACTCTTGGACACTGCCTGTTTGCTGATTTGGGGAGACATCCTTATCTCCAGAGATCCCCTAGCTTTGGTTACGGGGCTCTGGGAACGCGCTGCTTTGGGACACATGTCCTGATCTCATTGTCTGTGCTCAAGCCTTGAAGTCTGGACTGCTTGTCACCAGGAATGCCTTCTGCTTTGTATACCAAGCGCCAGAACTTGGACACCTGGAATTCTCCATTCCCCCCACTTGGGGATGGGGCTCACTGATTCACCAACTCACCTTTCCCCCCAAATTCCTAACCTTCCTTTGTTTAAAAGGTAGACAAACTCTCCCATCCATTATTTGATGGTCCATTCAGCACAGGCTGGATGGTTCCTGCCCACGCTTTTGTTTTTTTCTTTGCTGCATAAGAAAAACCTTCTTTAATTTCGCAGATATCGGCTTCCTTTAGGGCAAAGGGGAATCTAGATTCCGAGAACTGGCCTTTGCTTTCTCCAGATATCCTCCCCTTTGGGGGAAAGAGAGACCTGGATTCCCTGGAGAGAGCAGGGACTGGCTTTTGCTTCCCTTCACAGCGGCTGTTCACCACCCTCCCAGGATCAGAGCTCAGCCGGATGGAACCGAGCTGAGCCCCACGTCTGGTGGATGGGGCTGACCAGCCAAGGTCAACACATTCCAGCTGAATTTACCAAGCCAGTATTAAGTGTCTGGAAGATGTCTGGGCTGGTTGTGGGAAGGGACACCCAGTTCAGATTGAGGCCTGGCCCTGCCCTCAGGGAGCTCGCACTGGGGGGAGGGGTGGGGGGAGGTGTTGAGAAGGGAGGCTAGAGGCTGTAGGAAGCACCAGGCAGAAAGGGAGCTCTTTGGGCACACCACCCACCAAGGCCTTTGGCCACCCCAGCCTGCATCCTGGGCAAGGCTGGTGACCATTTCACTCAAGGGAGGTCGTTGTGTCCCACAGAGCCAGGCCTGGCAAGGGGAGCTCGTTCAGGCTTGTGAGCCTGCTTCCCCTTCTTTACCAGGCTTCTCCCCACCCTGGGCCTCTCAAGGGAGGACCAGCTTATGTTCAGAGCCCACAGAGAGCTGCAGGACTTTGTGCTGTGCGATCTGGCCCCTCTCCCCACCTCTCCCCTTTTGCTGGTCACCTGCGCCAGGCTCATCCATCTGTCCCTGGCACTCCCTGGCCAGGCAGTGGCTTCTGTGGGATTTTGTCTGAAACTGCTCCAAGGTGCCCCTAAAGGTATTTCTCCTGCTCCTCCCTATTCTGCCATGTCCTAAGTTTGGTGGAGGCGGGGGGGGGGGGGGGGGGGGGTTGCGCTCTCTGTGTAGCTGCCAAACCACCTGAAATCAGTGGCATCCAGGAAGCCTTCTGTGGTTTAGCTCAGCTCAATGCCCTGCTACCCTGGAAAACATACAGTCTTCCCTCAGAGTCAAGTGACTCAGACAAAGGTGGTGTCCTGGTACCATCACTTGTTAGCTGCCTGACTCTAGGCCAGTCTCTTCAGCCTCAGTTTCCTTATCTGTAGAATGGGCCTCACCCCCTTGCACTTAGCTGCCTCCTAGGGCTGGTCGGAATCTGACCTTGCACTGGTCAGATTGGCACTTGTCTGTTCAGATGGATGCTGTGCCCACACCCCTGATTGGGGCAGACTGTAAGGTCCAGGAGGGCAAGGCCCTTCTGTCGTGTCTCCCCCTGGCACAGCGCCTGCTAGCTGGAGGGCATCAGAAAGGTGATCAGAGCCTCTGGGCTAGACGGAACCCCAGAGACCCTCTCCGGGGCTCCTGGAGCTCACTCGTTCTATAATAACGCCATAGCCTTATTGACCTCTTAAAATGCTCCTTCCTCTTCCCAGCACACATCTGTCCGAGGCCCATGGGCATCCTCGACTCCATCTAGAGCGACCCATCCCAACAGCCTAGACAGAATGCAGCAGAGCTGGGGTCCTTCCGCTGTCTACTACTGAGACCCGAAAATCATGGCGAAGAGACCCAAACCCAGCCGAGGCTCATTGTGCTCTGGGGGCATTTTTCACACAAGTATATTCCATTAGCACATTAGCATGAAATGGGCTGATCATTCTTTTTAAAGAACTTCTAAGAAAGAATTCATTATAATTAATAAAGAAAAAATTTGAAATGTGCTTATTATTGCTATTTTAAGAAGAATTCACAAATGTCTTTAAAGTGTATTGGTAGGGGCAGCTAGGTGGCTCAGTGGACAGAGCTCAGGCCTTGAAGTCAGGAGGACCTGAGTTCAAATTTGACTTTGGGGACACTTAAAACTTACTAGCTGTGTGACCCTGGGCAAGTCACTTAACCCTAATTACCTCACCAAAAAAATAAAATAAAATGTATTGGTTTGTTATTTTTAAATGTATCTGTTCCTTATGTATATTTTAAAGAATTAATAAACATCTTTAAAATACATCAGCTTATTATTGTTATTTTAAGAAGAATTAATATATTTAGATGTACCTGTTCATTATTTTGAAGAGAATTAATAAATATATTTAAAATGCATCTTCTTATTATTTTGAAATAAATATTTTAAAACGTCAGTTCCTTGTTATTTTAAAAAGGATATTTTAAATGTATTATTGTTATTGTTTTTAAAGAATCAATACATAAATATTTTTAAATGTATTGGTTTATTATTGTTATTTTTAAAAGAATAAAGAAATATTTTAAAAACGCATCAGTTTAAATTTCTAACACGCCAACCATCCAGAGCTAAGACCCATATAAACACGAGCTCTTTGGGGTTCTTGACAACTTCATAACTTATTCTAATCTTAAAGAGAAGGGTCTGGAGATCATAAAGTTGGCAAGCAAAGATCTCAGCCAAAGCCCTTTTTTCAAAGGAGGAAACTAAGGTCCAGGAAGCCCCCTGTACAAGCAAAACCTGACTTGCTTTCTTTTCTTTTTTTTTTTTTTGGTAAAGAGCATTTGATTTTTTCCAATTACATGTAAAGATAGTTTTCAACACTCACTTTTATAAGATTTTGAGTTCAATTTTTTTTTTCTCCATCCCCCCCTCCACCCTCCCCAAGAAGGCACGCTATCTGATGTAGGCTCTACATGTACAATCACGTTAAACATATTTCCACATTAGTCGTGTTGTGAAAGAAGAATCAGAACAAAAGGGAAAAACCACGAGAAAGAAAAAAAAAGAGAAAACAGTCTGCCATGATCTACATTCAGCCTCACTCCATAGTTCTTTCTCCGGATGTGGACAGCATTTTCCAGCATAAGTCTCTTGGAGTTGTCTTAGATCATTGCATCGCTGAGAAGGGCTAAGTCATTCCCAGTCGATCATTGTAACAATGTTGCTGTTACCATGTACCAGGTCTCCTGGTGCTGCTCACTTCACTTTGCATCAGCTCATGTAAATCTTTCCAGGTTTTTCTAAGATCTGCCTACACAACCTGGCTTTCAATCCCATCCTCTGACTCAATCCACCAGAGGCCCAGGGCTAGGGTCAGTAGAGTAGACCCACGTGCTTCGCCACTGCCCCAGGCCTGGCTCCCCTGGCTAATTCCATCACTTTTCTGGCCCTTAGCTTCCTATTTGAAAACTAAGCCAGACAAACGATTGTTCATCTCTTCAGTATCTCCCTATATGCAAGTCTGTGGGCTCCTGGAGGTAGGTCAGTGCCTGGCATGAAGCAGATCCTCCAAAAAGGCTGGGGAATAATGAGGCCGGCCAACATTTATGGAGCTCCTACTGTGTGCCAGGCTTTACAAAGGGGATCTCGTTTGAGGGTTGGGCGGTTCCTGATGCCCCGACCACCTCCGACAATGCTGGAGTTGATCCAGGCTCAGACCTTTATGAGCCCCAGTTTCCTCAGCCATAAACCTGGGATCACAAGACCTGCGGAATGGAATTTTCTGCCCCAGTTTCCCGGCTGGCCGCCAGGCTCCGACGGATGAGATAATGGCTATAAAATATCTACCCAATTCCAATTGTTCCTGTGTCAATTACTGTGCTGAGGGGATGACTCAGCGGGTCCAGGATGTCACTTGTGGCCCTGCCCCACCCCAGCCTCCTCGGGTGCTGTGGGCTTGCACAAACCCACCACAGCGTGTGTGGGGGGTGGTAGTGTCTTGGCGTAACCCCGAGCGGCCGCGGGGGGGGGCAGAGTGGGGGGGCGGATCCCCGAGATGCCTGGGGCACAGACCAGGAAGAAGGCTCGGAGCCGAGCCAAGGGCGGGGTGACCCCCTGACTGACCCGGCGGCCCCCAGGAGCCCTCTCCTTGGCTCCCCCCGTGATCCCCCAAAGGGAAGCTGCAGCCTCCTGTCTCCCTAGACCCGGGTCCCTGAGTCCTCCTGGGGTCCCCCCCGCCCCGGATTCGGGGCAGGGGTCGCTGAGCGGAGGCCTGGCCCACTCCTCCCTTCCCCACGCGAGAGCGTCCACCCGTGGGTCGGGCAGCATTTGTTGGTTAATCATACTATGGCCCCGCCCTCAGGGACGGAGGACGGGGGGGGGGGGGAGGGGGGAACTCGGAACCCCGGCCGGGGGGGGCGGGTGGGTGCCCAGCGGGGCGTCCTGGGGGGTCGGGGAGTCTTTTCCGCGTGGGTGTGCGGTGCGCGCGTGCGTGTCTCTCTCCGGCCCCGCCTCCGGGCCTGCCCTCTCCGCTAGCCCCGCCCGACGCGCGCGGATTAAGGCCGGCTCGGCGGGCACGTGACTGCCGAAACCTATCCGGGCATCAGCTGACCCAGAAGCCGAGTGCGGGACTGCTCCGTCATCGCCTGCCAGCCCCGGGCCCAGCAGCAGCAGCGCCCGCGCCCCCAGCCCCGCCGCCGCAGCCATGCAGCCCTCCAGGCTGTGTCTCCTGCGCGCCCTCCTGCTGTGCGCCCTCCTGGAGCCCGCCAGCGCCCTCATCAGGTGAGCGTCCCTCGGACCGGGCTTGGAGGCTAGGGGGGGACAGCTCTGCGTGCCCCCTCGGATCCGGACCCAGGCTTGCAGACCAGGCACAGCTCTGCGTGCCCCCTCGGACCCAGACTCAGGCTTGCAGACTAGGGAGGGACAGCTCTGGCCTCCCCCCTCCCCCGCTGCAGGCCCCTCCCTCATCCCCAGGCCTCTGGTAGAGGGGAGGGTTCCCCAGAAAGGAGGGGCCCACAGATGTCATTTACAGACCCCCGCCCAGGACACGACCACTCTGCTGAGCCCTTGCTGGGGTGGGAGAGGTGGCCCAGCTTGGGGGGCCTTGGGCCACTTTAGCCCAGCTCCTCCCTTTCTCTCCCTGGGCCTCAGTTTCCTTCTCTGTCCAGTGGAGTGTTAGCCGGGGCCAGCCTGGGCGGGGCAGGGCAGGCCAGTTCCCACCCCAGACGCTTATCTGGGCAACCCTGGCACAGATCATGTGCCCGCCCTTGCTGGCGGGCAGCCCTCGGGGCCTCCCTTTCTCTCTGAGGCCCACCCAAGGGTTGCTGTAAAGTGCGAAGCGACCAGCACCTGTGGGTGCCTGATAAACACACGTTCCCTAGGAGCAGGTTGGCCCCCCCACTCCCTGCTCGACTTGGGGCCCGTCGTCTGCTCCCTCTGTGGAAGGAGGTGGCCGGCCTTGGCCTCCCAGGCTCTGTTCTGATCCGTTGGGTGACCTCAGGCTTACCCCTGCCTGGTACAGAGCCTCCTCCTGTTCCCCTATAAAATGGGGAGAAGCTGGCCCTGCCCACCTCCTGGGCTGCTCTCAGGGAGGCCCTGCACACAGGGCGCCAGAGCTGGAAGTGGGCTCCCGGGGGGAAACTGAGGCCTGAGGACCGGGAGACAGGCCTCGCCTGTTTTCTCTGAGCCTCAGTTGTCCCACTCTGAACAGTGGGACAACTCCTCGTCCTGTGGCCCCAGTGAGAAGGCTCCTCCACCCACCTGTTCCTGGGGCAGGGGCCTGAGCAGGTGGGGAGGTAGGGGAGGAATTCTCCAACTTCCCTGGGCCAGACTTCTGGTCTGAGCTGCCTTCTGGAAAAGGCCAGGGTGGGAGTGCAGGGCCTCCCTTGGCCCGAGTCCCAGCCCGGCGACCTTGAGGGGTGCTCTGTGTCCCGGGAATGCAGCCTGATGGTGGGGCAGTGGCCTCGGGCCTGACCCCCTTCCCTCTCGGAGCTGCAGGGAGTGGCCCCGGCCAGGCTGCCAAGGTCATGTTGCCCAGGTTGACTGTTGGGGGTGGGGCCGGGGCTGGGCCCTGGGTGCGCATGCAGGTGCGCATCCAGGAAGGGGCTCGAAGGCCGGGCCAGGCGCCCAGGACTTGTTCTAACCAGGCCTCCCTCCCCTTTCCCCTAGAATCCCCCTGCACAAATTCAAGTCCGTCCGCCAGACCCTGAGGGAGGCAGGCAGGCCCGTGCAGCTGGCCAGGGAGCCCCTCTCCAAGTATGCGCTGGGGAGCCTTCCTGTCTCTGGAGGCCCCATCCCAGAGATGCTCAAAAACTACATGGATGTGAGTAGAGACTGTGACCTCCCTGGCCTTCCTTCCCTGGGGTGGGCAGGGGGGACGCGCCGGCCAGGCTTGTGGGGTGGCCTCCCAGCCCCCAGTGAGCGGGGTCCCCACAACGTCTCTGGGAGGTGGGTGCTCTTACTCATTTTACTTGGGAGGAAACTGAGGCAGGGAGCGTTTAAGTGACTTGCCCAGGGTCTTCCTGACCAGGTGCCCCTGGGCTGCCCAGCTGCCTGGAGAAGACCAGTGGCTTCATGCCCCAGGAGGGTCATTAGCACAGCACAGGGGCTTCTGGGGGAAAGGGGGGAGGGCCCCCACCCTTGGCCCTCTTGGGTCATGCAGGCACGTGCTTAGATCAGCTGCTGAGATGCCTGGCCCCCCCCCCCCCCCCACGTGCTCCATGGCTCGGCCACCATGCTGCGGCTGGCAGGACGTCCATCCTGGGGGTCTGCCCATTGCTTCTTTCTCATCTCTTGACCCAGAGGGGCCTCCTTTGGCTGGACTGAACAGCATGGGCAGCCCTTTGCCCACAACCAGCCAAGCTCCTTCCCCACTAGCTGACTCACTGGGCTTGACAGATGGGGAAGCTGAGGCCCAGAGGGGCAAGTTAGGTGCCCAAGGGCAGTGGAGGTCTCTGGCTTGGGGCTCTCTCCTTACCCACTGTGCCCTCCTCACGCCTTGTCTGGGTGCCTAGACCTGGAGCCCTGGAGGCAGGAGGGTTGGAGGGCCGCTTGGCGGCCCAGTGGGTAGAGTACTGGACTCGAAGGGCAGACACCTGCCTCAGACCCTTGTGAACTGTGTGGCCCTGGACAAGTCCCCTCACCTCTGGGCTTTGCTCCTCATCTGTGAATTAAAGCATTGCACCCAGGAGCAATGCCCGCTCTAAATCTATGATGCTTTCACTTCACCCTGTGGTCTTAACATTCCCATCTGTGTATTGGGGTCATTATCACCACTTCCTTCTTTGATCAGGGTCCTGACTCCCTCCTCTGCTCCTTCCCTCTTTGCCCCTTTCCCCCTCGCTCCTTTTCTCCTTTCCTCTCCCCTCCTTCCTCTCTCCTTTCTTCCCCCATCTCCCCTCCCTCCCCCTTCCCTCCTTTGTCTCCCCCCCCTCCCCCCCCTTTTCCTCCCCCCTCCCTCCTTCCCCCCCTTCCCTCCCTCTCAGGAGACCTTACTGCTTTATCTCCAGCTGTTCCTCCTGTCAGACCCCATGACACGCTCCCTTCTCCCCTGCCCCCCCCAGGAGCTCTGGAGGAGCCTCTGGTTCTTCCCGAGGCTCTGACTCAGTTTCCCTTCCCCATCCTTCAGGCTCAGTACTACGGAGCCATCGGCATTGGAACCCCGCCCCAGGAATTCACTGTCGTCTTTGACACGGGTTCCTCCAACCTGTGGGTGCCGTCCATCCACTGCAGCATGTGGGACATTGCCTGCTGTGAGTACCCAGACCATCCCTGCCCTGGCCAGCCCCCAGAGAACCCTTAAGGCTCCTTGGGGTCTCGAGCTGCCCCAGGCCCTGCACCGTGGCAGCCCCCTCCCAAAGACATCCGGGTCACAGGCGCTGCCCCCGGCTTGGGACAGGGCTGTTGGGAGGCCAGGTTTGGTCCTGACTGCAAGGCCAAGGAGAGGGACCTGGGCCTTTGGCCTGGCCCTGCCTCCCCTCTGTGATCAGTCCAGGCCGACTTGGAGGCAGGACTGGGGGGCTGGGGGTGGCCTCTGTGGCCTGCCCTCCCCCGGCCCCCCAGACAAGGCCTGTTCTCCGGGGACGGCTCCCTGCCCTGGGGGAGAGTAGGGTTCCGGGTGAACCTATTCTTGACTCCCCAGGCCCCACCTTTCACCCAGACCTGCAGCCCTGCCAGGCTGTCTGTCCGGGAGGTGGCTTCTAGGCCGGCCCCAGGAGGCAGAGGGGAGCGGGGGAGCGGGAGCGGGCGTCGTCTGTTCCAGCCCCTCCCCAATGGGAGCAGGCTTGATTGGTGGGCTTCACGAGGTCACCTGAGGAGGCGGGGAGGGGCCCCGGAGTAAGGCTCCTCTGGCCCCCACTCTGCAGGGATTCACCACAAATACAACGGCAAGCAGTCCAGCACTTATGTGAAGAACGGTACCGACTTTGCCATCCACTACGGCTCGGGGAGCCTCTCAGGCTACCTGAGTGAGGACACGGTCACGGTAAGTCTGGGGCAGGGTGGGGGCGAGGCCCCAGGGCCGGAGAGGGAGGAGGAAGGACCTGTGGAGCAGACTAGACCGGTAGGGGGTGGTGGAAGCCCCGTGATCGCAGGGGGTGGCCACCCGCCTCGGGGGCGGGGTCGTCTGAGAGGGGACCCTAGGCGATCTCAGCTCAGGGGCTGCCGTCCCTTCTAGCCCACTGTGCATCTGGGCCTCTGTTTCTCCCCCTGTAAAATGAGGGTTTGCCCCGTGCCCCCCTCGAGGGCTGGAAGAGCAGACGGCCAGGCCTCATGTGGCTCAGTTTCCCCTTTTGCCCCAGTGACCAGCTCTCTGAGTGTGCCCGGGTAATCCCTCCTTCGCCTGCGGCTGGCTGCCTTCTGTTCTCATGCCCACAGGGATGGGAGGGCGTGGGAGGGCACACAACTGCTCCGGTCTGGGAAGAAAGGGGTCAGTCTAAGGTTGGGGGGGAGGGACGAGGAGACTCGCGAAGGCGCCTGCGCTGGAGCGGTGTTTGGCCCCGGCTGCGTCTGGGGTCTGTGACCTGGGTTCGACCCCCACCTCGCCCTCAGTTTCTCCTGTCCGTAGAAGGAGGTGCTCCCGGTAAGCCGCACGGCAGGTGTCGGAAGCCGTGGCGTGGCTTGTGATGGAGCGATGGAGGGCCTTGGCGCCCGGCCCTTAAGTGCAGCAAGCCTTCTACAGAAACTTCCCTGCACATCCTACCCCGTGCTGGCCCCTCGGCTTCCTGTGCCTTCGGGCTGTGGCCTGGGAGGGCTCGGGTTTCTGCCTCCGACCCCTTTGGGGGCTCCCCCTGCCCTGGAGGAGGGCTCAGCGTCCCCACTTTACAGATGAGGAAGCTGAGGTCCCGGCCGATGCCTCTCGGCTCAGGCTTGGTGATCCGCTCCTCACCGAGTCAGGGGAGACAGAATTCCCTTCCTTGCCCAAAGTCAGCCTTGGTGGTCAAGCAGAGGCCCGGGTCTCTGTGGCTGGGGAGCTGGGCAGACCCCCTCCCCGGTCCGACTTGGCAGCGTGCTTTGTCCAGGCAGAGGGTCAGGGAGGGGCTGCTCGTGCCCATTTGCAGATGAGGAGACTGAGGCCCCGGGGGAGGACTCAGCTGTCCACGTTTCTCTGCCCCACAGCTCCCCTATTCCGTGGATGGGAAAGACGGGGAAAGCGGCTGTCTGAAGGTGAAGAAGCAGACGTTCGGAGAAGCCACCAAGCAGCCCGGCGTCACCTTCATCGCTGCCAAGTTTGACGGCATCCTGGGCATGGCCTTCCCCCGCATCTCCGTGGACTCCGTGGTGCCGGTCTTTGACAACCTCATGGATCAGAAGCTGCTGGAGAAGAATGTGTTTTCCTTCTACCTGAACAGGTGAGGGGCGGTCCCTGGGCCCCCTTCATTCCCTGGCCCCTCAAGGCTCATGTTGGAGGGGGTCCTC